AGTGGACTTCATAGCGACCCAATTGCGCGGTAGTGGACCCCTGCCGACCCTGTGGGCGGCAGTGGACCCCCTACCAGCCCTGTGGGCGGCAGTGGACCCCTACCGACCCTGTGGGCGGTAGTGGACCCCATACCGACCCTGTGGGCGGCAGTGGACCCCTACCGACCCTGTGGGTGGGAGTGGATACCATACCAACCCTGTGGGCGGTAGTGGACCCTTTACCGACCCTGCGGGCGGCAGTGGACCCTATATACTAATCCTGTGAGCGATACTGGACCCTATACTCATCCTGTGGGCGGCAATGGACGCCATACACATCCAGTGGGTGTTATTGGACCCCATACTAATTCTGTGTGTGGTTGGAGCCCCATACCCATCCTGTGGGTGATAGTGGACGCCATACTCATCCTGTGGATGGTATTGGACCCCATACCCATCCTGTGGGTGGTTGTGAGCCTCATTCCCATCCTGTCGGTGGTAGTGGACGCCATACACATCCAGTGGATGGTATTGGACCCCATACCCTTCCTGTGGGTGGAAGTGATCCCCAAGTTTGCAGTAGTTTACCCCATAAACATTCCAACATAACATCGTTTTCTGTTAGCGTTCCTACAAAACATTCTTTAAAGATTTTTAAAGCGCAAACTATGGTATATAATATTGATTGGTGAAGCACTGTTATTCTATGTAATAATTTATAGTGCTTATTATAATTTACTAAGAACAACTAATATTTCTCAAAACAAAACTACGAGCCTTCAATAGGATGTAGCTGATTAATATTCTAAGAGCATGGACAATAGTAGGTAAATTTCACAACCCATGTGGGACCTGAAAACTACAATTTTCATTATAATTGAACCAATCACGACTATTCTGCTACCTACGTTGATGGACGGGTACTGTGAGACGTAAATTGGTACGTGAGGAAGAGTTTGGGCCTTGGTAAAATAGGTAACTGGAAATTTTATCACATATGTACTATATCACATTCAACATACTGTATTGACTTTAAGCATTAAGTCGTATATGTGCTGTCTTGTGTGAGAACGGGTTGGTATTTCCTTAATCAAGTTTGTGTGGATACTGCTGCCAAAGAGATTATCTGCACTTGTCCCATTTCCCAAAAAGGCATTCCATATTCTGATTTCTATCCATGCCCATTGGGAGGTTCATTGATCTTGTTACTGGTAACAAACTGCATGCTCTTGAGAGGATGAGGAAGGCCAAGGGGACGGGCTCATTTTCCCCACTGCAAGCAGCAGTGAGAAATAGGTCTGGCGAGATTACATATTGGCCACATATGTTTAACTCACCGGCATTTAATGGAGTACTGCCCTACTTCTTGTCTGAAATGGCATTGTCCCGCTTGCAGTTTCCCCCTTGTCGAATGTCGTGATTTACAGGACATTTGTGTCTTGTTTCCTGACCGTCCCTAGATTTGAATCCGATAATTTGATATTGCTTGCCTTAAGCATGTTTGTTCTCGTATTGGCATCTTTGGTGATATTTAGTGCCCTTTGAACATTTTGCAACTTTGACTGTGCCAAGTCTTCCTAGCACCAAGGCTTGGTGCCATATCTTGAAGTTATCTTGAGAGGATTTCAAGGCTTAGCATCCCCATGGCCCAGTCCTCGACCAGGCCTCCTTTTTGTTACACACCCCCAGGAAGCAGCCCGTAGCAGCTGTCTAACTCCAAGGTACCTATTTACTGCTAGGTGAACAGGAGCATCAGGTCAAAAGAAATTTTGTTTGCCTCCACCGGGGATCAAACCCGGAACCTCAGGACTATGGATCCGAAGCGCTGTCCACTCGGCTGTCAGGCCCCTATATAAGCCTTCTTATAACAATTACTTCATTTGCTTCACAGCACTTTCCATGGATTACTAAATGCATTTTTTTTTTAATCAATCCCCAAAACCTTGGGGATTAGTCATAAAAGTTATTGTGAAATATGTCATTTAACAATATATTTTATCACCATAAAATATGGACATCAAAGTAACATACTTGTAAAATGTAGGTCCTCAAATTGCCCCTATATTATGAGAATCAAAGTTCAATATTCCAGTGAGTTAGGCTTTATTAGCAGACTTACTCTGTACAGTATTGGACACAAGGTCAACACAGATCCCTGAAACAGGTGTGAGCGGAGAAGCTCTTGTCAACCAATTAGCTTGCATCACTAATAATTTATTAAGTTGTGACATAATGAGAATTTTCAATGAAAGGATGATATGATTTACATTGCTAAGGAGCTTAATTCGAAACACTTTGTAATAGCATTATAGTGCTCCTACTCAATAATTGCTTAAAATAGTTTCCACTCCACCCACACCTCATTAACTACATCCACTGTTTTGCCAAAATCCCTACTCCCAAAAATTGTACAAATGTATACGAGCTCATCTAGTTAAGTGAGCGTGACAACACTTTACTTACACAATGAGAAAGAATAGACTTTAGTTTTATACATTACATACAGATAGAACTCAGTATGTTTTAAATAACATAAATAAAACTTAACTGTAGGCAATACAGTACTGAATTTACGAAACTGCTAATGAAAAAAACCCTTATTACAGCAACATACAGTTCATAATTATTTACTACTGCATTGCTGAACATTTGATGAGACCGACACTTTTTTTTTAAGATTTTTTTAAATATTTACTTTTCTTACAAAGGACAGATGAATTATTATAAAAGCACAAATATGTTCAATGTGTAATACTGAGGACAAACTAGAATGTGTCGCATGAAAAACTATACATGATATAAAGATCAGAATAAAGAAGTTTGGGCGAATCAATAGGGAGGAGTGGAGAGGAAGTTGTGAACTAAGTTCTTAACCAGCACATGATCAATAGCAAGCTGCCTTGTACTGTGTAGCCTATTTACTGACTTCTACATATGCTATACAGTCAATACTAATTTAATTTATTGGTCTTGCTAATTCTCAAGTGGAGTTTAAGCACTCAGCCCTTGGTGCACAGCCTTCTGGTATGGATATTGTTTAAGAGTTCTCAGCTCAGAGCTCACATTATTTGTCCACAATGCGAGGGCATCGTAAGGACTTGCGGTCAACAGCATTTGACAAAAAAAAAAAAAAAAAAAAAATAAAATAATATATATTTTAGTGGAACTTATTTCCTTAGGCATGCCCATTTCAGGTACAATTTGTTGAGCACTTAGTTTGCCATACCTTATGTTCCTCCAGAATTTCCAAAAATATTGTCTGAAGTCCTACTGCTCACCATCTTCACCTGACATGAACTTTAATTGGAAACAAACACATCTGAATGCAATTTAAAATGCACAGCAATTCTCAAACTAAAATGTTACTTTAGAACTGATAACAAAAAAAAATCAACAATTAAAAAAAAATAACAAACAGCAACTATAGAAGTAAAATAACTAAAAATATCATACTGCCCAACATTTTGGAGTTGCACATTCATTCATATAATCCCAAAATGTGGGATTAGTAATTCTGGACCACAAATATGTATCAATTTGTAAAATACTGTAAGGGCAGAGAGGAGACAACCTTCCCAAAATAGGAGGAAAATTAATATAATTTTGTCCTTACATCCCTGTCATTCTTTCCAGATGCACTGGGATGGATGGACATGTTGACTTGGGATCCTCGGTAGGAGCTTTTATAAACGAGTTATTCAACGTAACCAAATAATTCAATAAAAATATATGTATCTGTACAAAACAAAACTGCTGATCACAGAACATCCAGAACAATGCATGTGGAAAGAGTTAAGATGGGTAAGCTCTGAGACTTTTGCAAAGTGGTAGATTTTGTGGCAGTCAAGATTATCACAAGATATAAAACACACTTCTTGTGGCAGTGATTTGAAACCTTTTAATGCACACACACCTGTAACTACAACTAAGGCCAGTCCCTTTGGCTGGTAACTTGGAAGGAGAACATAATGCGTAGGCAAGGCTAATAAATTAAGACTGGGTAGTACCATACCATCAACCACACGCAATTTCTACTACCCCCGACTACAGCTAATTCAGCACTAGCTGTTAACTGTCTTGGCAACCACTATTATCACCATGAGGAAATTACATGGTGGGTCCTGCAACAGCTCTATTTCTGGCACAATTGCAAGCCCATCACAGTGAACCACTTCCAAAACACACACACACACACACACACTCTCACACATTCATTCACTCACACTTACTTTCACACTCTCCAAATGCCAGTGTTGCTTTTTACTGTGTCCTTGAGTTCTATGAGATCATTATCATTATGCCTTGGAGAGTGGCAGAATTGGAAGCAGAATTTCTAGATGCTTCATTGCAACAATCACACGGCTAAATCACTTTCTTCATTCATTCGTAGTGTCTCGGCAGCATTTTTTCATAATGCCCATTTTTCACTGCAATAGCTTCCAAGAATCTGGATGTGAAAAATACGGCCACCGTGACTACAATGAGTCAATAATAGAAAAGGCCTCTGGAAGGTGCACTGGCAGTGACGTAAATTCTTATTTATAACTTAATGCTACTTGCAGCAAATCACTTTGTCTTTCCACAACAACACACTGCTGCCCACTAACACTTGCTGTCTCTTGTAGATGCAGTTTTTTCCATTTGTGTATAAAAGCAGGGAGTCTTTCTTATTCTTTACAAGAAATAAGAACCATCTGGCTAGAAACCACCCCATGTCACAATGAACACATCGAGGTGGCCGCTAGGACTGGGTTAGGTCACGTGAGGGGAGCTGGAGTTGAGGAGGTAGGAGGCGGGGTTGGTGCTTGGCCTGGTAACGTCTCTCCCTCAACCTGAAATTCATTATCCAATGTACTCATGGCAAGAAAATGTTTCTCACATTTAATGGGCAAAAAGCTTAACAAAAGTTATACAAACCAACATTAAGCTTGATATCTATTATAACTGGACCAATACAGTATCTGTAGAAATAACAATGTGCATACTGTATGCTAAGAATATAAATTGGGAATTGAAATCAAATTGCTGTATCTTACCATATACTGTGTAATGGTACAGTCTAACATTACTGGGCTGATTATTTCAAGGTTTTTATCAAGATAACATTGCTGTACTTAACTTTACCAATACTACAGTTATTTATGAATAATGGGATAATATAAATTTATGTACTGTATCCTGTTTACCATATGTGCTTCCTAGTTTCCACTTCCAAAATGAATAATGTAAATTAAAGTGTAGACAAGTTGTCTGGATGGAAATATGTACCATACATTAATTCGTGGAATATCTGTCAATCATGTTTCAATGTATCCTGGTGATTTCAACTGTACACATATTTCTGAAAGCTTTCCTAATGGATGTACAGTACTAAATAAGCATTTACGAGTTTATAAAGTAGTATACTGAAGCAGGTTTGAGATGCACAGAAAAAGATAACCAGCAATATTGCAGCTATAGCATCAATAAAACTATAGCATCTATGTATATATATATATATAATCCTTTAGTTGCAATAAGACCACTCACAAGCAACATAACCCCCTAGCAAGAACCATATTAGAGCTGTTTGCGCAGATGAGATACAAGTCCTGCCACTCCCAACAACCCAATTACACACCATTTCACCTCAGGACATGTTCCTCGCTTACTTTTTTCCATGAATTTGTTTTAACTAAATTTATTCACCCTTTGCATACACTTTGTTGTTATATGTGCAGTGCATCCATATTTGTTTTACATGAACCCATTAAGTACAAATGGAAAATATTTTACAATGCTGTATATGAAAAAGATTTGTTAACTGCATGTCAATATTGTGAAGGTTACTTATACCACCATTAAAAAGCTTACCAATAAAAAATTAAAGCTTGACCTTTTCGCAATTCTAGTAGACTAAAAACATAGCTTGCCAATATATATAAATTCCCATCTATAATTTTCACCATCTTACTTACTGGCTGTAAAATGAAGTGATCATAAACTTGGCATAGATCACTAAGATGATATTCTTCTAAAACAACAAAGCCTTCAAGCCGCGGAGCTTGCCGTCTTGCACAGTCAATACAGTGCACTACATGCCGTCTTTCTTGTTCCTTCACAAACAACACATTAAATACCTGAAAAATAATAAATATATATAGATATATTCTGTGATTTGTTATTTTCATAGTTTTTACAATGGATAGACCCTAAAGTACAGTCAAAACCCAATTTCACTAGATTCAACACACTGATGCCAAAAGAGGTAAAAATATAGTACATTAATCACATCTATGTAGCCATCAACTAGTGTAGAATCAGTCAGTGGCAATGCAATTCATCTGTACCAGTAATGTCCAAAGGTTTTCAATAAAAATGCAATGGATGTATAAATAATAAATTTCTGAAAGTTTGTCTAAATAAATTTTGGTATTAATTAATCTAACTGTGCCTACTGGAAGCAGCATCATACTGTAAATTAATTAGCACATTTACACCTCCTGATACTCTAGTAATCCACTGAACTAGCTCCTCAAGCTGTGAATGTAGGTGGCTTTTTGGACCTCTGGTCCCAGCAAATGCACAACTGCTTACCACTCATACTGGATAGCAGTGCTTTCATTCATTTTTATTCCCAAATTCCACATGTGCCACTGCAGATGATGCTATGATACTGGGGAAGATAGGAGCCGCAGACAATTGTAATGCCCTTCAAATTGATCTGGATAAAATAAGTGCTTGGAGCGTCAAGTGCCAAATGCCATTCAATGTGAATAAATGTCATGTTATGGAATGTGGAATGAGAAAATAGACCACACACACAACTTATAAATTATGTACAAAGGAATTACAGAACTCCAATAAAGAATGAGACCTAGAGGTGGTTTCAGATAGCAAGCTGTCGCCAGAGGAACACAAAGAACATTGTGATAGGAGCATGTACGTTGCTTTCCAACTTCAAACTTGCTTTTAATTATGTGGATGGTGAAATACTAAAGAAACTGTTCATGACTTTTGTGAGACCAAAACTGGAATATGCAGCAGTTGTATGGTACTCAAATCTCAAGAACATAAATAAACTGGAAAAGGTGCAATGGCATACTACAAAATGGCTTCCAGAACTGAAAAAGAAGAGTTACGAGGAGAGATGTCCAATATTAAATAAATTTGGCATTAAACACGCCAAAACTAGAAGATAGAAGAAAAAGACTTGATATGATCACCACTTACAAAATAGTAACAGGAATTTATCAAATTGACAAAGAGGAATTCCTGAAACCAGCAACTTCACACACAGGACAGATTCAAACTAAGGAAACAAAAGTGCCCAAAAAATATTAGAATGTTTTCTTTTGCAGAGTGGTAGATAGTTGGACTAAACTATCCCTTGTACAGTGCCTAACCTTTGGCACTGTACAAGGGCCAAACTAGCACTGGCCCTTGTACAGTGCTAGTTTGTTTTTGTTACACATACACCATACAGACATTGAATAAAGAATTTTTTCAATTAAAATATTAAATTATGGAAAATTTATGTATATAATATTTTATGCTATGGGAATATACAATATACAAATGTTATGTTTACTGACCTCAATCTCACAAACGCCACAGTAGTGGGATGCATCATTTCGAGTTCGACCATGAAATTTGGTATCCATGCCACACATTTTAACGTAATCTAAAGATAAGTAAACTTGACGAAGCGATCGCATAAGACAGCCCCTGAAAAGATGAAATATATTACAAAATTTATAACATGATGATAAAGAACATGTTATTAGTGGACTGCGCCAGATACTGTTTATCTATATCCGGAGTGTGCAGTACATAATACACAGCTTCGGAAAAATACCAATGTATATTAAAATATAAGCATTCTTTTAATAAATTATCACTGTATATCTTGAGGTTATCTTGAGATGATTTCGGGGCTTTTTTTTTTTTTTTAGTGTCCCCGCGGCCCGGTCCTCGACCAGGCCTCCACCCCCAGGAAGCAGCCCGTGACAGCTGACTAACACCCAGGTACCTATTTTACTGCTAGGTAACAGGGGCATAGAGTGAAAGAAACTCTGCCCATTGTTTCTCGCCGGCGCCTGGGATCGAACCCAGGACCACAGGATCACAAGTCCAGCGTGCTGTCCGCTTGGCCAACCGGCTCCCCATAAGGGAGGGCCATTTGTATACAAGTATATATTTGTACACATTTGTATGTGTATAAGAGCCATTTGTTTCACAATGATAATTTAAAGGTCCAGATAAAATTTACCCTTGGCTACTAAAGGAAGCACAATGAATACTGAAGCCTAAAATCAAATAGAGGAGCATGGGTGAACTGCATCTATATGAAGGAAAAAATCTGGCATGACAAAAGCACTAGATTGCATTTGAAACTACCTGATAGGATGAAAACAGTAATTATTACAGTGGCAGTCAGAAAGAAGTATCAAGGAACAATACTGGGTGATTTTTCTATTCCTTATCTTCATATCGCTCTAAGCAATTCCACTGGACCAAGTCATCACATGTCATGCCTGGCCTCAGGCTGGATTTTGGGAGTAGAATTCCCAGAGTCCTCTCCAGGTGTACGCAAAGTATACAGTACAAGTAAAAAAAAAAAAAAAAAATTGCGGCAGATTTGCATAGGAATTATATGCTGTCCTCTACTGAACACCATGTTATATTGGAGAGAAAAAATTACTTGTGTACATAACCCTATTTTAAATAAATCTTTACAATTTGAAAGCCTGTCTACCACTAAGAATTGCCATGCAACAATTTTGTGAAGCTGCATAAAACACAGGCATCAAATGGCCAAAAACACTGCTAAAAATGAAAGAAAATTCAACTTACTTGATAGCTTCAAAGAGCTTGGGGTCAGATACTTTTATATTTCTAGCCAAATTCCATGATAGATGAATGAGAGGCACAATGGACTTGAAGCTCTGCAGTTTATTCCACTCATACCGCTCCAAAGCCAAAATATACTGACGTGCAGTGAGAGGTCCCACATTCCAGGCAATGTTATTACACCAACCAACAGCCTGGACCCAGTGCACACACCCTACAAAGAACAATGAAACAACTTTAAGAAAATTCGACACAAGTTGTTGAACATAATTTTCAGGTAATCCGTAGGTTACTGCTGGTCTCTAAGAAATTATTACTTCAAATATTGGCAACAAATTAATGAAATCAATAAAAATAACGAAATTACAAATTTAAATGATGAGAGAAACAAAAATCTTCAGGTGCACATATTTACACTCCTATACAGTAATATAAACTAGCATTAAAATTACTCTGTTTAGAATTTCAAATAATTGGTCTTGTATGAAATAAAATTAACTACAATGTCAATAATTATTGTAAACTTGATCTCACCTGAATTAACCCAGACCATGTCGCCTGGTTTCTGATGAAAACGATAAACAGGAACATTTTCATCGTACAACTCTTGTAAATCTGGCCACCATGAACCATGTAGATAGTTGGTTCCATTTCTGTCGGGAAAAAAATAACAATCACACATGGTCGGTCACTCACCATCTCTATCATGGGTAATAACACCCTAATCAAATGTATTTTCCCACATGTGTGTCGAGTGCAGCTTGCATGTCATGGGGTTCAGTGCCTGAGCCCATTATGAACTTGTGTAACCTTTTCCACAGCTATTCACAAAAGGATATGGGGTGCATAATCAATAAGGTAAATAAAAATATGCTATCCTGGATGAGGGCTGGATTACCACTAAATACCACTGTGGTGAATATTTCAGTATAATTTATTTCAAAGCTTTCAAAGGATTGGAATACATAGCATTATCGAGTTTAATTTTTTATAACAAAAAAACTTTCCTTGTATCTATATATTGGTTCAATTTGTCTATCATTGCCAAACCAGAATGGCCACTAACAGTAACCAATCATTTGTAAACATTTATTAATTTAATATATTTTAATAAATGTCTTACCAAACTTTGTGCATATTTATAGGTCTCAGAAACCAAGTTTAATAGATTGCCACGTGCACATGCCACTGTTCTAGTCACTCAACACACACTCAGACTCCACAACTCACTGGAAGAGACTGCTTCCTCATGAACCAAGATACACCTAGTAGTAAATACCCTTATTTTTAGTTGTAAATAAGCAGCAAAAATAATAAATTGATAGCAAATTTCCTACTACCCCCAAACACAGAGTAATAATTGAAAGTTCCTTGTACTGTACTTCCTTTCTACTAACTACCTTTTAGAAATAAATACTGTGTCATCAATTTAAAAATTACTTTTAATGTACAGTACATCCTCAAAATGTTTATATAAATTTTAGTGAAAGACAAACAGACTTGGATGCTGCATAAGCTTGCATAAGAAAAATTGATATTCTTATCCTCAGGAATTAACTGCATTAATATCACACAAATCTTACCAATATGAAATTATGAAATGCCAGCAAAAGTTGGCAGCATGAAAAACCTACAGAAGCCTGATCATTCATTGCATGGGATAAACAACATTTCAACAATCATTCACAATCAAGGCACTGGAAGCATTCAAGGAAAATCTTGAGTTGTATTCTCAATATTGAGAAAGAACAAATTCTTAAACATAAAAATGTAATGTCTTATTTATAACTTACTTCTCACAAAGGTTTGCAATAACTCCCCAATATGCATCAGGAACACCAAACCATTCGCAGTCTCCTGGTCCAATATTTATATTGATAGAGCAAAAATTATTATTTTCTTGATGACCAGGTGTTCTTGAACCTGGGACCTGGAAATTAAAATTAAGGAATTAACAAAAGATGCATATTCTCTACTGCCACTATATGTTAACCTGTGCAAAGGCATTTGCTAAGCAGGGGTTCTCAAACTTGTGTATACATATCCACTAGAACCTTTAAAAAGACGGGGACACACACACACACACGCACTGCAGAATGATGAGGATGGAAAACTTTGGTCATTAAGATGAGACCTCTCAAAGGAAGACAAAGCTAAAACTAAACCTCGAAGCAAAATGTCTAAATGGAAAAAGAAAATGATTTTTTTTTTTTTTAGCAAGGTGATAGGGACTGGAAAGCCTGTGAAAAGGTACATAAAAACAAACTAAAATCATTAGAGGAAGGGAGAATAAAGGTCAAATGGAGAGGGAACATTTTCATGTACCTGAAAATTGTATATACCAACAGATGGAGCGAGAAAAAAATATTGGAGCTAAAATGTATAATTCAGCTTAAGATCCCAGATATTGTTGCAATAACAGAGACAAAACGAAGAAAATATTTTAAATGAGGTCGTATTCCCAAGGGGCTACTCAATTCGGAGACATGACAAAAATTAGGAAGGGTGGAGGTAAGGATGTGCTGGTGAAAGAGTTATCAACATAATTGATTATCAATTAAGGTAAGAGTTAATTATCCACAACCCATGATTATTTGACATAATGGCATTGCAGGTTTGGAATCAGGATGATAAAATGATAATCGTAAATGCCTACAATCCACCAGCAAGCAACATGTGGACAAAAAGAGGAACTAAATGGCAAATGACAGGGCCTCATAATGATCATGAAAGAGATTATAGTAAGAGCATATAAACATAAAATCACAATTGATGGTACTGAGGAACTTCAGCTACCTACGAAGCCTACAGAGGCCTACGAAGCAAAAACAGGGGACATGTGGGACAGACAGATTTGTAAACATCCTGGAGACATTCACCTATCAACACATTAAGCAGGCCACAAGAATGATGGAAGAGGATGTTCTGTCAATACTGGATTTAATATTCACTAGGAAAGAGGAGGAGATATTTGACATTCAGTACATTCCTCCCTTGGGAAAGGGTGACCAAGTCCTGTTGGAAATTAAATATGCAATGTGATATAATCTAGAAGAGAATGGGGAAATTTAAATAGTTGAGAAACTATTTCAAGAGAGATTCCTAAGGGTGTTTGTGCAAAATGAGGTTTTCAGACAACCAGACAATGTCAATTCTAGAGAACACCATATAGAGGTGTCATGAAATAAAGTAGAAAAATTACTCGGGGAGCTAAGAAAAAATAAAGCAGTTGGATCAGGTGGAGTTTAACCTTGGGTTCTGAGAGAATGTGCAACCAAGCTAAGGATTCCACTTCAACAGGGTAAATGAGACAACCTACAAATTATGTGGAAAGGAATTAAAAGAAAACAATCTAGGATAGTAGACTGTCACCAGAGGAACACACAGGATACTGTGCGAGCACATGCTGCACTTTCCAACTTCAGAATCACTTAATTACCTGTACATGGATAGTGAAATACTAAAGAAACTGTTCATGACTTCTGTGAGCCCAAAACTGAAATATGCAGTAGTTGTATGGTGACCATATCTCAAGCACATTAAAAAACTGAAAAAGGTGCAAAGGCATGCTACAAAATGGCTTCCGGAACTGAAAAACATAAGTCACGAAGAGAACCTGGAGGCATTAAATATGGCTAAACTAGTGGGTAGAAGATGGGTGATATAATCACCACTAATAAAATAATAACAGGAATTTAAAAATTAACAAGAGGAATTACTGAAATTGACAACCTCAAGATCAAGGTCACAGATTAAAGCTAAGGAAACAAAGGTGCCACAAAAATATTAAAATGTTTTTTGCAAAGTGGTGGATGGGTGGAAAGAGTGAGGCAGTGGATGCCATTGATGTAGTTTCAATGCATTATATGACTGCTGGGAAAACGAGACACCACGAGCATAGCTCTTACCCTGTAACTACACTTAATTACACAGACAAGCACCAAAGACATTCATATTCCAGCTTAAGAATCCTTATGTTAAAGACTGCATTTTTTAGGTTACTAATCATAAATCAAACTAGCTGAACACTAAACCACCTATTTTGTTATTATAACAATGTTTCAAAAGTTAAAACCACGTTTTAACAAGTTAGTCATTCCGTCAAAGTTAGTTATGACTAGAATACTAACAGTATAAAACTGAACATTTTATGTACCAAATCTTGAAATGTATATATGATTCTGCCAAAAACTTTATGCATAGTATCAATATCCCATACTGCTATGATTATCAAATTTACCTTCATATAAAGCTGTACAGTATTCATTCCAAGAATGGCATGCCCAACATGAGAGAGCATGTTCCCTGCAGACACAACTCTTGCAAACGCCGGCAGCTTCATTAGCTCCGTAAGTTGTGTACGCCACTTCTTTTCATCGGATAAGTCGACATTTGTGCCAAACTTGATCATCTTTTGAGTTTTTTTCTTTTTACTGTCATCAGTCTTTGGCGCACCTGCTGCAATCCGATCTTGTTCTTCTTTCAAACTCTCTTGGAAGCTGGATGCTTGGTACTGGGCGTATTTGGCAACCGTAGTGTGGGAACGATGACTTGCACATGGCCATATTTTAAGTTCAGTTGCTGCGTCAATATTTTCATCGGCATCTTGCTTCATTTGAGTTCGAACCTCGACTGTGTGCTCAGGATTTACTTCAACTAAAGTTTTTGTAGAGAAGAGCCCCAAATCTAATTTAAGTGCAGAAGCTAAACCTCTCACAACAGCTATTGGATGTTGTAGACAGAATTCTTGCAACTGTGGTGAAAATGCTAGTTTTTTATTGTCTAAAAGTACTGAAGGTGTATTAGGTAGAAGCTGTTCCTTATTTAGTTTTACTTTGGGAGGCTCTGGCAAAGATGGGGGTAGCTGCTTATCTGAAACCATGCTAGTATTACGGGCACTAGCTCCACGACCCTTACATCCGGATATGATTTCAGCACTGCTCATGTTAATTGAGAAAACAGGTTCAGCTATAGGCTCGACTTTAATTTCACAAAGTCGCACATTGGTCAAACGAGGCTTTGTTTCAGGTAAAATATTCAGAGATGAAACCTTACTGTCAGGAACTTCTTGCTTGATATATGTGACTCCTGACTGTAATGTGGCAGAAGTAGATGCAGTAGTTGGGACAGAAGTTGTCGATGGAGAGGTGGCTGATGTGGAGAATTGGGTATTAGGTAAGGCTACTTCTGGTCCAACATCACCAGCCTTTGCCAATTCATCAATTACATCTTCCCCTTGAGCTAAACGATTTAACAAATCTTCTGCAAGAGATGTGGTGAATTCCCTTTGGCTGATGAGTTCTTTAAGTTCTTGGAGTTCTTGATCACTGACTGTTGTTTCTGGTGTAATGCCACTTAGGTCTTTGGGTAATGCCTCATTCATGTTGCTGCTATTGTAGCCATTATTAAAACCATAACTAGCAGAAGTTGTTGGAACTCCTCCATTGGTGTAAGATGTATTTTGGGTAATATATCCACCAGTTGAAGAAGGTTGAGAATAAGCCTGATTAGTTTGGTTATAATTTGTTGTTGGTGTCTGAGGTCTCTGGGTAATAAATCCTCTGTTTACCCCATTTGTTGCTGGTTGTGTATAGGTTGCAACACCAGCAGATTGCACTGGACGAGCTATCTGTCCACCTTGAACAAAACTAGGAGGTTGGCCAAGGTTGGGGGATACTTGTGGACCTTGCACAGATTGCTGCTGCTGCTGCTGCTGCTGCTGTTGCTGCTGTATCTGTTGTTGCTGATGCATTTTCATCTGATGTTGCTGCATGAGTCGATAATTTTGTTGCAGCTGTTGGAGTTGTTGCTGCTGCTGTGGAGTTAAACTGGCTTGGTTCTGCTGTTGATAATGCAAAATCTGCATCTGTTGTTGATTGAGGTAGAAGTGTGGTCGCTGCTGGTCTCCAGCCAAATCAGGCTTGAACCGTTTGGCATCATTACCTGGAGCTGGGTAAGGTGGTGGCGGTCCTGTTGACCCAGCAGGTCCAAACTGCTGGCCATACTTTTGGAAATTACTGGTCCCAGCTGCTAATGACCTTTGCTGACCAGACACTTGCTGGCCCTGGCTCTGGCCCTGTTGCCTGTTTGACATGTCTGTTGTAACAGGAAGATTCCAGGCCTCCTCAATGCTCAGCAGCTGCCGAGGCTTGTTAATTGCACTCGGCATGGGAGCATTTGCTAGTTGCTGTTGGAGAAATTTTATGCGTGGCGCAAGGTTGGGGTTCACAGGTTTATTACTACCACGTGTTGCATTCATATAGCAAGCTAGAGCATCACGAGGTTGATTGCAAGTTTCATACAGAATACCTAGATTAGTCCAAGCTGCAGTGTGCCCTTTGTCATATTGCACTGCACAAATATAAGCTTGAAGTGCATCAATTGGCTGATTCTGTTGCTGATACAACACACTGAAATGAAAAAAATTACACACATTTATTCACTGCATTTCAAACATATCAATCTTTATCAATCAAACCATGGTGGACTCAGAAAATTATTGCTGTCAAATAAGAGAAGCATTTTTGTGGAAAACCATTTTAATTTACTGACCAAAATTGCTGTAACTCACATACTATAAGAACTGAATGTAATTAAATTCCCCCTTTCTGGGTGGTTCCTCAATAATTACCCAAAGCTTAAGCACTAGTACCATGGAGCTTACCAACCCATACCAGGCCTGACCCTTACACAGACCTTCTGAGTCAGGGCCAGACTAGCCCTTTCACAGAGGTAAGGAGCATAGTGATTGAAGATTGACCTAACACTGAGGAAGTCCTCCCCCAGAAAGTTACAAGTGAACCAAAACAATTTTAAATTAAAATGAGCAATGATAGGAACTGGACTCCCAGATATGGATCTTCAAAACTACTAGTCATCATATTGACTTGTAAGGCCTTTAGTCATTAGCTAAATTTTCCATGCATGGCTATAAATGTATTTAATAAACTTACCCTATAGAACACCAAGTATCAGCATTACCCTCACACTTGTCAACAGAGTTTCTATAAGCTATAAATGCATCGTGCACTTTTCCAAGGGCAGAGTAACAGCGACCAAGCAGGTACAAGCTTTGCCCACTCTTAGGGTCAGCCTCAATAGACTTTTGTAAATACTGTACAGCGGTCAGTTCCCGGTATGACTTCTCTCCCAAACTTTCAACAGTATGGTACATCCATCCCAGCTGGCGCTGAATGTCGGCACGAAGGTGGTTAGGAAGGTCCGTCTCTTTTAGCAGGTTCTCGTATGCTTCTCGAGCAGCTCTGTGTTTGTTTTGAAGCTCGTACAAATGAGCTACATGGAACTGGACTGTAAATAAAAAAAAAAACTGAGAATACAATAATGAATTTTCATTGTGATACAAACTGAATGGAGTTTAAATAACATGTTTGGTGCAAAATTAATTTAAAGAGTACTTATGAAATTTATGTACTGTAATTACATGTAACACATTTTTACATTTCAATACATATGTTGTGTGTATGCAGTACCCATTTGCACAGGCTTATCAATGTGAAAAAATTTACCAAAACATGTTTTATGAGCAATTCAGTCTTGATATGTACTTAGAATTTAGGCAAAAGTACATGCACAGTACTGCACAGTGTGTATGCAATATTACAAAACTAACAGAATATCTCGGAACAATTTCATACTATATTTTTAAGCAGCCTACAAATATATATACCGTTTAAAATTTTGTTTATCCAGAGTTTGGTTCTCCTGAATACTGAACTTATGGACTAATACTGTAGCACAATGGCTTTTTTCTCTACAAAGAAATAAGCAAAAATGTCCAAAACTATAAAATTGCAGGCTCAACAACCCCAACACAGATGACAAACTTTACATTACACTATTTACAGAGCTAATTTATATACATAGTGTGTGCAATATACTGTACTTCCACCACAGACAACAAATATTTTAAAAATGCCTTCTAAACACTTACTTTCAAGTTTAGAAAATGATGCTGGACCAACATCAATTAATGCTGACTGGAAGTGTTTAAGTGATGATTCATAGTCACTCTGGACTTTGAACATTAACCCCAAGCGGAGATGAACTTCATTGGCTCGGCCAAATCCAGGTTCAATGTACAATACTTGTTGAAATGCTTTGATAGCCCTGAAAATAAAGACAACAAATTTTAGTAATGAAACTTGAGCCAATACATAATGCTACACCAAAACAAGACATTGTGGTATATTTCTGGATGCAAAGGAACTGATGTAAAGTGTCCAGGTGCTGTGGTTACCCATGAGGACTACCTGTCGTGAAGCTCTACCATTTTACACCCCACTTACCTATTTGTACCCAGTCCAATTTTAAATGCAGACAATGACTTTTACTTCTGTGTGTTGTCTGCTTTTGAACTTGTGGATGAAGATGGCTGCCATACCCTCATCTTTTAGTACATTCCACTTATTGAAGTGTACATACAAAGTATGATTAGTTCCTTTGTCTAGTCTCTCAATTTCTCTTAATATCCTGTACATTGTCAACATATTCCCTCTACTCCTATCTTATATTAAATGTCTTTAATCTTTCATTATAGTAGAGTCATTTTACTTCAATTACATGTGCAGCACTTTGTAACGCCTGGAGAGTACACCCATGACTCACCATAGGAACGTCCTGGTAAGATCAGACTGTGACCTCAGATTCAGCTAGAGTTAATTTAAATATTTTCTGGCTCCACCCTAGTCAGCTTGTTCCTGTTTATGAGTAATCCTGATAGTCTTAGCAAACAACTTAATGATACATCTTGATTGCTTTTTTGTACATCATGGGAAGCTGATGCCCTGATGTGCTGACCAACATTTTTTAGGTGTGCAAAACACACTTTTCCCGAGTTGGCTGAATCAGCTGAGAACAGGTCCACACCAGACTTTCCCACAACAGTGTAAAATGCCCCCCCTTCTGATTCAGTTGTATATATACCCCTGTATGATAGTTAGGAGAAAGAGAGAGTGCTGAAGGAGTCGGAGGAGTGTGAGGCTGCAGGTCATCAGGCAAGCCTCAGGAAACAGATTGAATCCACCCGACTGAGAGGCAGAGAGTGGTCTTAATTAAGGTAATGTGTGTGATCTTTGATACGTTTTCCATGTCTGGATCCCGTAACAATTGCCAGTTTTGCCAGTGTTAAAGTAGGATTTTATAGTGGTGAAAAGCATAATTTGTTCTCAATAAACTCATGTTAAACTTCCCATCTGTATCAATTGTTGAATCCCCATACCTTCTGATATAATTTGCTAACAACCGTCCCATAATTATTGACAGTTAAAGAAAGAGGACTCTCCAAGTCTAGCAATGTTTCTTGCCTCGTTGCTTGATTATAGTTAATGAACAAGGCAGATGGTGGCAGCGTTTTTAATCCTGTGTAGCATTTCCTTGTTGGAAGTGTACCTTTTGGTTCCGGTGTAACCATCATATGTCAGCTCATATTACGGTGTTCAATAACAGTGTTACCAAGTGCAACCGATAGGAAGTGTTGCTCAGTATAAGTAGTACATATACTGTATTATATAGTTTACATTTTACAGTGGTGTTACAACTTGCCTTTATGCGTACCTATGCACCTTTTTAATTTGTGTGTGTACTTCACAAGGTGTGGATTCCATGCCTGTGCCAAGCAGCATAAATGAACTCCCTAAAGAAAATCACCAACTTAAAACAAAGAAAATCAAAGTATTTTATGCAACAACCCAGTCTTTAGAGTATTTCAGGTCAAGATGTCTTACATTCTCAAAATGTCAACCATGTTCAGGTTGAAAAAACTTAGAACAGTACCATGTGTGCACTTTAGGAGAAATGAATACCTCCCTGCATAGTACAAAATATTACAACATACATAAGATATATAAACAGCATATTGTATTTAAAACATAGGTTGCGAGGCAAGACCAAAGTAATTACCAAAAGAAGGAGCCAATTCAGGAAGACTATGGTAGCAAGGCAACACCAAAGAGCATACATACAACTTTTACATGCCCAATTAGGCAGGTGTCATGCAGGGGGGCACTAGACGAGTGTGGGGGAAAAGGGGGAGGGGATATGTGACCAATGTTGGGTTTAGTGGCATGATTGGATGGAGGGAATAGGATTGGTGAGTGCAGGAGTAGGTTTGGTTTGAAGTGGTTGAGATGGTTGGATGGATAGGCATATTGCAGACCCCCCCCCCCCCCCACACACACACAAACACACATGCACAAAAACAAACACTGTACAACCTGTACTCTTTAACAATACATTGTATGATGTATAAATGCCCTAAGGCCAAAAAAAAAAACTTGCATACTAAAAATCATAGTGGCTAGCAAAATTGACAATGCCCCATTTTCTATTCTTGGTTCCATCGTTACATTAGGTAACCATTACCATTAGGTAACCATTAACATAATGAGACAACAGCTTCAGTTGCCTGCAGGAATGTACCCAGACTTTTTAATCATGGGCAACTTCAACTACGGAAAGAGACTGGAAGAATGGATAACCACAGGGGTGCAGATATGATGGTGGGATGGAATATCATCACTGGAATTCCAAAGAACTCCGTACTTGGACCCATCCCATTTCATATCTTTTTTTATATGATATTTCAGAGGTACAGACTCATTCTTCTCATTTGTAAACGAGTTTCATGTTCGCTGATGATGCGAAAATTAGGAGAATCATCAAGACAAAGGAAAATACAGAGACTACTAGACAACCTGGACAAACTGGAGGAATGGTCTACAAAATGGCTACTAAAATTTAACTCAAGTGTAAAGTAATGAAATTAAGTGAAGGGAGGACAAGCACAGGATACCATTTGGGAGGTGAAATCCTTCAAGAGTGAAGTAGAGAAAAACACCAAACATTAGACACATCAAACCTGTCCCCAGAAGCCCACATCAATGGGATATTGTCAGTGGCATATGCAAATTGGCCAACATAAGAACTGCCTTTAGAAACCTGTGTATGGAATCATTCAGAACCGTGTATACCACATACTGTATGTTAGACCAATCCTGGAGTGTGCAGCTCCAGTCTGGAGTCGATACCTAGTTAAACACACAGCAAAGTTGGAAGATTCAAAGAAGAATCAGAGGTACAATTTGGGAGAAGGTTTAGATGTATGCCACCTGAACAGTCCCCAAACCAAGAGGAACGAGTTATAAGGAAAGGCTACATGAATTAAACCTCATGTCCCTGGAAAACAGAAGAGTTAGTGGAGACATGATCACCCCTTATAAAATTCTCAGAGGAATTAACAGTATGGACATAGACAAACTATTTTAGAACAGGAACAAGGGCACAGAAGTGGAAACTTAGTACTCAAATGAGCCACAGAGACAGAAAGAATTTTTTTCAGTGTCAGGGTAAACAAATGGAATGGATTAGGAAGTGATGTGGTGGAGACAGACTCCAATCCCAGTTTCAAATGTAGATATGATAAGAGCCCAATAGAATCAGGAACCTGTACACCAATTGACTAACAGTCGAGAGGTAGGACCAAAGAGCCGAAGCTCAACACCCGCGAGCATAACTAGGTGAGCACATTGAGAACACAGCTTCTCATCCGATCAGAACACAGCTTCTCATCCGATCAGGGAAGTTAAGCAACGTTGGGTTTGGTTAGTATTTGGATGGGGGATCGCCTGGTAACACCAAATGCTGTTGGCATTACATTTTGGGAGGTCCGCTGCTGATGTCGACAAATCTCAACACTAAGTGACACAATACAGGTGCTCACAGCAGAGTGGACAGCGCTCTGGTCTGTACTGTAGATAAATAGTATTCCTTAGCTCGACTACTGGCCTACGTGCACTGACCTATTATGATGTTAAACTACTTAACTATTTCATCAATTCCCTAACCTGCTTAGATAAACGAATACGGTAGTTTGGGTCTTGACCCCATTATGCGCCTCTAAACTTTTGTACTACTATTCGCAGGATGGACAGGGCGTACACCGGGAATAAATTAAAGACAATAACAAATTACGGACTTACTGGGGCAGCGGGAGAGCGAAGCAACAGGCACGAGTGGCGAGATGGTAGTAGTAAGCGGTGGTGGGAGAAGAGAGAGATGCTGGTTGTGGAGGACGGGGTGATTCACCTGCCAGGTGGTTCCGGCGGGTTGCCCCACCCCCAAACTGCTTCCTACTAGGCCACCTCGCTTCCCGGTAAGCGGCCGCTCGCTACACCACAGTCAACCTCTAACTAAACCAACGTTTAAAAGACTAATTTTTATTACTCAACTCGCGTTGGCACATTTAATCGCTGTTTTATACGGTATTATTTTATATTCACCAAATAACGACGTGCCTATTATGAACGCGTTCTCAATTAGATCTTAGCGCAGATACGCACCCTTCTGCCAAGGTAACTTAAAGATGCACTCTTCGTTAATTCAAATATAAAAATACACATCTTACGTATTTTCTGAATTATTAAAAATTCATACAATATTAGGAACATCTTTCGAAATAAAATTATGCAGTTGTGTATTTAACTACTAGCCTATGATCACGTGACTCATACATAGGCTGCGAGTAGCCGCGTCCAACAGCCTGGTTGACCAGTTCAGCAACGAGAAGGCCTGGTCGACGACCGGGCCGCCTCGTTACTGAGCCCCGAAGTCAAGGTAACCTCAAAGTAACCTCAGGGTAACCTCAGGGTAAGGTCTCGTCATCAAAGCATCGGGATCATTAACAACACAATTAAATGTTTACTCACTCAATACTTGCCTAATTCATAAAAACAATGAACACGCAACGGTTAAGAATGTGGACAAATTTGAAAGCTGGCCGAGTTTTCACCGAAATTCTGGGTAGACAGGATGCACTATCTGCCAGCAGGTGGCACCACGGCCACAGGATATCCTGTGCTGGCCCAGGTAAAGTATGTTGCTACCTAATGCAAAACTTCTCGGGCTCACCATAGCCCGTGCTACTTGGAACTTTTTGTTCCAGGTAGCGAATCTACAACAACAACAACGCAAAACTTCACACGTTGGGCGATTCTGAATGTCGTACAAGTTACAATAGAGCAACTAACAAACCGATACAAAGCAAACAAAATGCCATTCGGGAAAAATAATTAATATTAAAATCAAACGAACGCTACAGTAGGCTATAATTA